GGTGGAACTAAGCAGGAAATGGTAGGGAAACAATTAGGAAATAATAGGGACATGATAATGAAATAATAGGGAACTAATTAGGTGATAATAGGGACATACTTATATAGTTGACGAGAAGGAAATAATAGGGAACTAATATGGACATAATCCGGAAATAATAAGGAAATAAACCTTAGATAATAAGAATGATAGAGAAATAATAGGAAACATAAGAGGAACATGCTAGGGAGATAATAGGGAACCATTAAAAAAAACATATTTAGGAAATAAAAGGGACATGATAGGGAACCAATAAAGAAATAAAAGTGAACTAATAGGTAAACCATATGGAAATAACAGGGACATAATAGGGAAATCACCGGGACATAATAAGAAACAAGAAGGACATCATAGGGAAATACTAGAGAAATATGATAGGGAAACAATAATAGGGAACTAATAGGGACATAGTAAAGAAATTATAGGGAAATCTTCGAGAAATACTAGGGAAATGATAGGGGAATAATATGGAAATAATAGGGAATCAATAGGGACATAGTGGGGACATAATAGGGAAATAACCGGACACAATACGGAAATAATTGGGAATTGATAGGGAAACACATATGGACATCACATCAATAAAGAAACAATCGGGAAATATTATGAACATAATAGAGGAATGATAGGGGAATAATATGGACATGATAAGGACATAATAGGGACATAATATGGAAACAATAGGGAGATAATGGGGAAATAATATGGAAAACATAGGGCATAAGAAGGAAACAATAAGGAAACAGTCAGGCAAGAATAGGGAAACAATCGGGAAATATTAGGGACATCACAAGAAAATCATAGGGGAAATAATAGGAACATAATAGGGAATAATATAGGGAAATAACGGGAACATAATAGGGAAATTATAGGTACATTATAGGGAAACACTAGGGACAATACGGACATGATATGAAAAGAATAGGGAGATAATGGGAAATACCAGGGAGAGATTCGGTTAATTATAAGAACATGATGGGGGAAGAATAGGTAAATAGCAGGGAAACAATAGGGGCATGATAGGGAAAACATGGGGAACATATAGGAACCCCAATGATCATCCCAATATCATTTGAAAGGAATGGGATCAATGAAAACTACTTTTTAGCTGTGACCCTGCTGTGCTTGGTCCGTGGCGACTTTTCCGCAAACGATTTGTCCACATTCATAAATGTTGACTTCAGCACTCGATTGTATTAATGGGCAGTCCGAAACATTTACAATCTATAGTTTTTATAGATGATATTTTTATACATCTTATACAGTATTTCTTGTGTTGTATGATCCAGGAGTCCTGCAACAGCAAAAGCACTAAGGCAATGACCTTGGTCCAGGAGGCGTCCGAAGATGGGGTCTATACACCCCCAAATTTATGGCTAAATTTCACAGAAAAATGAGGAACAAATCATGATCAACCATCAAAATTCATCAGATTTATAGACTTAGGTGATCTTGTGGGTTATCTTATTTTCAATTTACCTCTCAAGATTCTGACCAACTGATCTTGCCACGTTTTGGCCGTGTCTGACCACAGATGCAGCCCCCATCCAACGGGCGGGAGCTTACCAGAAGTCTGAAACTCATTTTGCCACAGAAACGGCTGCGACAATTTGTGGTTCGTGGGTTTTCATACCAAGTTAGGATCTTCCCAAGTACCAATCAACATGAGGGCAAACTCTCAGTCTCAGGGTTGAATCGTGCTCAAAGACTCAAAGAGTTCATATTTTTTTGCAGCAATCAATGAATATCGATGATTTGACACATTTGATTTGGTACCAAAATATTGTGTTTCCATTAATTTATAGTCTCTAATAGCTTGCCACTCACCGACATGATTCAACATGCTGCAATTTATTGCACAGATTGTTTTTTCTGCTACTGCAGTTCAGCTGTCCACAACGATGTTCAGACTTTGAAGGCACGATGCTTCATTATATAATTGTATATTATTAAAGGGCTCCGCCCCCTGCCGCCGACCCCTGGGCATATCTTCTGTGGCGCGTGAGCAACTGCGCCATGGTGACTTGTCCGACAATAACCATCGCTTTCTGCACGGGCGGCCTACCACAGTGCTAGGCAGCTGGATTGCTGGGCAGGCGACGTGCCAACAACCAAGTTGCGCCGCGTTGCCTACACAAGGCCTAATTCCAGAAGCCATACAAGAGGCCGAATGCAGCTACTGTGCGGCGGATCGCCGTTCGCGCATACTTGTGGCGCAAGGAGCTGCGGACACACGGTTCCAGAAGGAATTTGCAGATGCGGTCGCGATTTTCGGCACCAACGACATCAAATACCACGTGAACAAGCTTCGCGCCATACAGTGGGCGAATGCCAGAGACAAGCAACCGTATTTATTTGTTGCGCAAGATGTTGCGTCGTCTGTGGTCGTGCAGGAGAAGCCGAATTTGACGACGGAGAAATTGCAATGGTTGCAGCGACACGACAAAGAGTGCGGTGGACTGTACGGCGTGTTGCCGTTGTGCGTCGGCATGCCTGTCCGTGCAACAGATCACCTCGACCGGAAGCGTGGCATTCTAAAAGGCACCAAGGGCTACGTCGTCGGTTGGTCCACGATTGCCAATGAGACGCCTGCGCCGGAAGGAGTCGTGTGCAACACTTTGCCGGCCGTAGTGTATGTGAGGTTTGAAACCGCAACCTCATGGCATGTGCCAGGTCTGCCGGATGCAAACGTATACCCCGTCGGAACTTGCAGGCGTGTGTGGTACTTAGACCGGCAACGCCAACGCCCCAAGCTGCGTGTATCGCGGACGCAATTCCCGCTCGCACCCCAGTTCGCCATCACCGCGCATGTGGCGCAAGGACAGACCATCAAAGAGGGGGTGATGACGGATCTTTGTATAGGTCCCACAGGAAATCCCTTCACGGTCTATGTCGCGATCACTCGCGTCACAGGACGCGAAAAATTGTTGATTTTTTGACCTTTTGACGCCGCTCCATTCCAAAAGGGAATTGGTTTGGGCCGAGACCTTCTTCTGCGACACCTTCGAGGGGATTTCATCAACTGGCAATCGTTGTTGGCCATACTGCGAAGAACGTCGGTGTGCAACCTGTACGGAACGCAAGCCAGCAGCAGCCTTCACGACCGGTCAATGGAAGCGCGAGGACAAGGATCGCGTCTGTCGCGAATGCACAAAGCACTACGCAGACGCAGGAACGCCGTGGCAATGCAACGTTTGCAAGCTGTGGCATGCCGAAGACAATTTTCCAGCAAAGCATCGTCAACGGCAGTGTAGTTTTTTTCGTGTGTGTTTGACATGTGAAGTGAAGAAACCTTGTTTCAAGTGTGGCGTTGTGAAAGCAGAATCCGACTTTGGCGCAGCCGCATGGAAAGCTCGCAACGCGGATCGCCGCTGCTGCAGAGAATGTGCCACCAAACTACGCGGCTGTTGGCAATGTCGCCAGTGCGCGGAACGCAAGCCACGAACAGAGTTTACAGCTTGGCAACAAGGTCGTGAATATACTCAAAACGGCACAAGTATGCAACGCATGCACAGCCTTTGCCTTCGTTTGCCGTCTTGCTCATCGCACGAATCAACGCCTGGCCCGCTTGCGCCAACGCGAAACCCGCCACCGGCACGCAGCAATCCTAGAGGACGTTCGCAAGGAAATTCAGGAAATACACGAAGCAAGACAAACTTCCACGCGAGCAGAAGGTCCCAAAACGGACACTGCCCACTCATCGAACCAGCAGCTTGCTGTCGGGCCTGACACAGCACCGCCACGACTGCACATATACATCTGCCCGTACTGTGCCAAGTCTGTGCAAAGCCCTGTGGCAACAGGGCGCGTCGATCACCGCCGCGGTAATGGCTGCGGCAAACAATTTCGCGTTACCAATGGCCTGCTCGCAGGTCGCACATATTCGCATGCATGTCCAACATGCGGCACGGTGGTGCACTCAACACTGGCTTCCGGCCGAATTCGGGTAACGCATCGCAATCCCAGCGGCCGGCAGTGTCGCACCAACCAGTGGCGCGTGCATACCTGATGAAGTTTCCAGCTTAAGGTCGCCGCACCGCACGGCAATGCCCCACATTGCTTTCTGAACCTACAAGAAAAGTAGCCGTCTTCCAGCTTTCCAAGTTCAGAAACGGCGCCTCCGCCACGCCCAAACAGCAGGGCCCTGAAGGACGGACCGAGCCTCCGGGCAACGGCTCCCACTGCCTAACGTTGCTTTCTGAACCTACAAGAAAACTAGCTCTCTTCCAGCCGTCAAAGCTCACAAACGGCGCCCTCGCCACAACAAAACAGCAGGGCCCTGAAGGACGGACCGAGCCTCCGGGCAACGGCTCCCAAACTAGCTCTCTTCCAGCCGTCAAGGCTCACAAACGGCGCCTCCGCCACGCCCAAACAGCAGGGCCCTGAAGGACGGACCGAGCCTCCGGGCAACGGCTCCCAGCGCCTAACGTTGCTTTCTGAACCGACAAGAAAACTAGCTCTCTTCCAGCCGTCAAGGCTCACAAACGGCGCCCTCGCCACAGCAAAACAGCAGCGCCCTGAAGGACGGACCGAGCCTCCGGGCAACGGCTCCCAAACTAGCTCTCTTCCAGCCGTCAAGGCTCACAAACGGCGCCTCCGCCACGCCCAAACAGCAGGGCCCTGAAGGACGGACCGAGCCTCCGGGCAACGGCTCCCACTGCCTAACGTTGCTTTCTAGCTCTCTTCCAGCCGTCAAGGCTCACAAACGGCGCCTCCGCCACGCCCAAGCAGCAGGCCCTGAAGGACGGACCGAGCCTCCGGGCAACGGCTCCCACTGCCTAACGTTGCTTTCTGAACCTACAAGAAAACTAGCTCTCTTCCAGCCGTCAAGGCTCACAAACGGCGCCCTCGCCACAGCAAAACAGCAGGGCCCTGAAGGACGGACCGAGCCTCCGGGCAACGGCTCCCAAACTAGCTCTCTTCCAGCCGTCAAGGCTCACAAACGGCGCCTCCGCCACGCCCAAACAGCAGGGCCCTGAAGGACGGACCGAGCCTCCGGGCAACGGCTCCCACTGCCTAACGTTGCTTTCTGAACCTACAAGAAAACTAGCTCTCTTCCAGCCGTCAAGGCTCACAAACGGCGCCCTCGCCACAGCAAAACAGCAGGGCCCTGAAGGACGGACCGAGCCTCCGGGCAACGGCTCCCAAACTAGCTCTCTTCCAGCCGTCAAGGCTCACAAACGGCGCCTCCGCCACGCCCAAACAGCAGGGCCCTGAAGGACGGACCGAGCCTCCGGGCAACGGCTCCCACTGCCTAACGTTGCTTTCTGAACCTACAAGAAAACTAGCTCTCTTCCAGCCGTCAAGGCTCACAAACGGCGCCCTCGCCACAGCAAAACAGCAGGGCCCTGAAGGACGGACCGAGCCTCCGGGCAACGGCTCCCAAACTAGCTCTCTTCCAGCCGTCAAGGCTCACAAACGGCGCCTCCGCCACGCCCAAACAGCAGGGCCCTGAAGGACGGACCGAGCCTCCGGGCAACGGCTCCCAGCGCCTAACGTTGCTTTCTGAACCGACAAGAAAACTAGCTCTCTTCCAGCCGTCAACGCTCACAAACGGCGCCCTGGCCACAGCAAAACAGCAGCGCCCTGAAGGACGGACCGAGCCTCCGGGCAACGGCTCCCAAACTAGCTCTCTTCCAGCCGTCAAGGCTCACAAACGGCGCCTCCGCCACGCCCAAACAGCAGGGCCCTGAAGGACGGACCGAGCCTCCGGGCAACGGCTCCCACTGCCTAAAGTTGTGCTTTCTGAAACGACAGGCAAACTAGCTTCTTTCCAGACGTCACGGCCTCACAAACGGGCGCCCTCGCCACAGCAAAACAGCAGCGCCCTGAAGACGGACCGAGCCAAGGGCAACGGCTCCCAAACTAGCGCTTCTTGCAGCCGTCAAGCCTCACAAACGGCGCCCTCCGCCACGCCCAAACAGCAGGGGGCCTCTGAAGGACGGACCGAAGCTTCCGGGCAACGGCCTCCCACGCCTAACGTTGCTTCTGAACCTACCAAGAAAACTAGACTATTCCCGCCGTCAGGTCACAACGGCGCCTCCGCACCTACGCCCAAACAGCAGGGCCTGAAGGAAGGACCGAGGGCCTCCGGGCACGTCTACCACTGCTAAAGTTGCTTTCTCACCTACAAGAAAACTAGCTCTCTGACCTGTCTTCCAGCCGCCTGCCTAACGTTGCTTTCTGAATCGACAAGAAAACTAGCTCTCTGACCTGTCTTCCAGCCGCCTGCCTAACGTTGCTTTCTGAATCGACAAGAAAACTAGCTCTCTGACCCGTCTTCCAGCCGCTTGTTGCTTCCTGGCTTCTTGTTTCTTGCTTCTCTGACCTGTCTTCCAGCCGCTTGTTGCTTCCTGGCTTCTTGTTTCTTGCTTCTTGCCGCTTGTTGCCTGTAATTGCTTCTTGCCTCCGGGCAACGGCTCCCAAACTAGCTCTCTTCCAGCCGTCAAGGCTCACAAACGGCGCCTCCGCCACGCCCAAACAGCAGGGCCCTGAAGGACGGACCGAGCCTCCGGGCAACGGCTCCCAGTGCCTAACGTTGCTTTCTGAACCTACAAGAAAACTAGCTCTCTTCCAGCCGTCAAGGCTCACAAACGGCGCCCTCGCCACGGCAAAACAGCAGCGCCCTGAAGGACGGACCGAGGCTCCGGGCAACGGCTCCCAAACTAGCTCTCTTCCAGCCGTCAAGGCTCACAAACGGCGCCTCCGCCACGCCCAAACAGCAGGGCCCTGAAAGACGGACCGAGCCTCCGGGCAACGGCTCCCACTGCCTAACGTTGCTTTCTGAACCTACAAGAAAACTAGCTCTCTTCCAGTCGTCAAGGCTCACAAACGGCGCCCTCGCCACAGCAAAACAGCAGGGCCCTGAAGGACGGACCGAGCCTCCGGGCAACGGCTCCCAAACTAGCTCTCTTCCAGCCGTCAAGGCTCACAAACGTGGCCTCCGCCACGCCCAAACAGCAGGGCCCTGAAGGACGGACCGAGCCTCCGGGCAACGGCTCCCAGTGCCTAACGTTGCTTTCTGAACCGACAAGAAAACTAGGCTTACAAAAGTATGAACCCACACATTATTTCTCCCTTCTCCTTACCTCTTCAAGCCGTCAAGGCTCACAACGGCGCCCTCGCCACAGCAAACAGCACCGCGCCTGAAAGGACGGAACCGAGCCTCCGGGCAACGGATCCCAAAACTAGCTCTCTTCCAGCCGTCAAGGCTCACAAACGGCGCCCTCGCCACAGCAAAACAGCAGGGCCCTGAAGGACGGACCGAGCCTCCGGGCACCGGCTCCCACTGCCTAACGTTGCTTTCTGAACCTACAAGAAAACTAGCTCTCTTCCAGCCGTCAAGGCTCACAAACGGCGCCCTCGGCACAGCAAAACAGCAGGGCCCTGAAGGACGGACCGGGCCTCCGGGCAACGGCTCCCAAACTAGCTCTCTTCCAGCCGTCAAGGCTCACAAACGGCGCCTCCGCCACGCCCAAACAGCAGGGCCCTGAAGGACGGACCGAGCCTCCGGGCAACGGCTCCCACTGCCTAACGTTGCTTTCTGAGCCTACAAGAAAACTAGCTCTCTTCCAGCCGTCAAGGCTCACAAACGGCGCCTCGCCACAGCAAAACAGCAGGGCCCTGAAGGACGGACCGAGCCTCCGGGCAACAGCCCCCAGTGCCTAACGTTGCTTTCTCAACCTACAAGAAAACTAGCTCTCTGAGCTGTCTTCCAGCCGCCTGCCTAACGTTGCTTTCTGAATCGACAAGAAAACTAGCTCTCTGACCTGTCTTCCAGCCGCCTGCCTACCGTTGCTTTCTGAATCGACAAGAAAACTAGCTCTCTGACCTGTCTTCCAGCCGCTTGTTGCTTCCTGGCTTCTTGTTTCTTGCTTCTCTGACCTGTCTTCCAGCCGCTTGTTGCTTCCTGGCTTCTTGTTTCTTGCTTCTTGCCGCTTGTTGCCTGTAATTGCTTCTTGCTTCTTGCTTCTTCTTTCTTGTTTTTTTGCTTCTTGCCCTTGCTGTTTGTAATGACTTCTCTGACCTGTCTTCCAGCCGCTTGTTGCTTCCGGGCTTCTTGTTTCTTGCTTCTTGCCGCTTGTTGCCTGTAATTGCTTCTTGCTTCTTGCTTCTTCTTTCATGTTTTCTTGCTTCTTGCCCTTGCTGCTTGTAATGACTTCTTGGCCCTTGCTGCTGGTAATTCCTCCTCTGACGCGCTCCCCCTGCTGTCGGCAGGGGTCGGCGGATATGGTATTCCGCAACAACGTGGTTCATACAGTGAGGTTGAACAATAAGCAAGTCAGATTTGATTCCGGTTGTCTAACATTTTGATTCCTAATACAATTGTCAGTTCAATTATTGAGGTTCAACAGTTTGCTGACTTTTTTACCAATGGTCAACATTGGTCACCCATTTGAGGCCAGAATGTGGAGCCGCAAGGCGGGCGCATGATCTCGCCACATCTCGATCTTTGAACACACGCAGCTTCGAAGCATGTTGCATTTGCTTTTGAGACCAAGCAGAGCCCAACTAGCAGGTTCGAAAAAGAAGGAACGTACTATAGTTACTATACTATACGATACTGCAATACTCCTGTTCCGTCCTTGTCCAAGGCGAAATCTATTGGGGAATACAAAGTGCCATGGGACCAACATTGACCTTGAACAAAGAAGCTGTTTCAGTAGAGGAACCGACTCACAGAGATGATGGTCCCCCAGTAGTAGTCCTTCAACAGACTTCACCTGCAGGGCCGCCCGAACCCCGGCGCCTTGAGGCCCCAGCCGCTGTTCTCGTTTCTGGGTTGAGTTCGATGTCTCACATGAACCAAACCCATCTCACTGAGCTGGCCAATCTATTCCAGAAAGTGTCGCGTAAACATTCCCCGCCAGGAAATGGCTGTGGAGATTATCGAGCTGGCAGACCCTTGGACAACGAAAGTTGGTCCCTTAAGATGGGAAATTCAGTTGTCCTTCCGGTCAAAATGTTGGTTTAATAGAATCATTTCATCTATCAATGGGGACTTGAGATGGTTTTTCCCTCCTTTAAAGGGTTGGATTTCCAGAAGGTAAGAGAAATCTGCAGGAAACCGCATTGCTTCTCGCTGTAACCCTGGCATGTGGCCCAGTTGACCGCCATCCATCGGGTACCGCTGAGACCAAAGCATGGGCCCAACTTGACCCAATGAGTACCACCAAGATTAAGATTTGATGAATGATCCTTATTTTCCCCATTTTCCAATTTTTCCACATTTTCCCCCATCTGAATTATGCTACAGATCGTTACAAGTTGGAGTAATGATCGAGTTCAATATCGCATTAGATCCTACATCATATCCCATCACAATTGGGTGTACCATGCCATTACATATTGTTACTGATGGTTGTTTCAGTTTCAATTCCCATGTTGCCATGTTGATGATTTGTTTCATTCAATTACATACTAAGTTGATGGGATTGAACCCTACTTGATAATGTATGCATATTTTATATTAGACAACATTATACAAGTATATACACATGTATGCATCTATATATATATATATAAATATTACCAATTGTAATGGTGGTGGTGGTGGTGGTGGTGGTGGTGGTGGTGGTCGTCGTCGTCGTCGTCGTAGCAGGAGTAGTAGTAGTAGTAGTAGTAGCAGTAGCAGTAGCAGTAGTAACATTAGCAATAAGAAGGCAAAAAAAAGATTAAGACATACTGTAATGGTTAATGACGGTAAATGTACATATACACATTTGGATTACCCTCTGGTAATTTAACATAGCTATGGAAAATCACCATTTTTCATGGGAAAATCCACTATTTCTATGGCCATTTTCAATAGCTATGTTAGTCATTACCGGAGGGTAATCCAATGTTGATGGACCAAATCTCTATCTCTGTTCCCTGCAGTATCTCAGGAACATGATCAGCCCTTCAAGGCCGAGGAGCTGATGATGACGGCCCTTGAAATGGGTCCAGTTCCAGAGGCCATCTGGGAAAACATGGGAAAACCTGGCTGTGGTTTGATGGAGTCTCCCATTTTAGACACGAAGATCCTCCAGGATGGCGACCAGAAGACACTCAGATCTCCATGAAATATCCCTGACCCATCCTGACCCCACCATTTTGTCTCTGAACATTTGCATGAAATCCCCATGAAGACCCACCGTGCCGACTTCCGCGCAGGCGTATGACTCCTTGGTCATGGCTTTCGATCGAATGGAGAATGTGCCCAAGGCGGAGGTGTGCTCAGTCCACCAGTGGTGGAGCCACAAAACTGGGTGCTGTTTAGTCATTCAAAATCGAATTGAACCCAAGTGAAACCATCAAAATTGGGCTTCAAGATTAAGATAATTAAGATGTCCATTTTTGGAGGGTTGATCATTTTGACAGAGACTCCAAATAAATAAATCAATAAATAAATATATATATATATATATATATTTATATACATGTTACATAACATGCCTACATCCCTGGTTGGTGCGGCTCCGGCGCTGGTTTGGCCAATGGTTGGAAACTTGGAAACCACCAGGAAGGTAACCGGTAGCCATCCTGCCATCGGCTAACCTATGTGAGTGGTGTGTATTTTGTGAACAGCACCCCCTTTACAAAATACCGCACTGGCATTCACAGATTATTCACTTTTATCAATAGTTTCTATAGTTCAGGAACTCAACTATAGCAGGTCAAGATCCCTTGACTTTGTGTTTGTCACCCTGGTGTCTCGCACAGGAGTGGCTTTGGCGAGCTTTGCAGTCGGGTATTCTTCCCCGCGAGGCGCGCAGTTGAAAGCCACGCGGCTTTGTTTGAACATGAGGTAGCTCTAAATCCACTGGTTGATACATGTAATGGTTGATAATGGTTGATAATTATATAATTTTCTTATTAACATGAGCCTCTTGGGGGGTTACCCCATTCTCAGACAAACGTCACATTAGTTCCAAAATTGTATTGATGAAAATCCCAACACTGACATCATCTGACATCTATTGACCTGAATATCCTGAATTTTATGGAAATCGCGTGTGCGCGGACTCAGGAGTGCTTCGGGACGGTGATCGTTGGTCTTTGCAAGACTGGATTCCAAGGGAAGGTGCACCGTACACCGAACACATCCCTATCCTCTCGGTAGGTTGTTTGAGTCAACCAACCCACCCACAGCTGCAGGGTTGGTTGTGTAGAAGTGCAGGTTTAGGATGGTTTAGGTATATATTATTTATATTCTGATTCCAGGTGGAGATGAGATATCAAGCTGGAACATCCAGGTGGCCAGGTGGCCATCTGATATCTCTTTGTAATGTGTCTATGCATAGGCTATAGATGGCTATAGGGGATGAGGAACAGAATGTGGGGTTCCAAAATTCGGTCGACTTTTTCGACTCCAGAATTGCCATGGATCGCCATGGAATCCCGGAGGTGGAAGACACCATGACTCAGATGATGCAGATGCGCATGAGGCCACCCAAGGAGGCACCCTGTGCTCGCGGCTTGCGCTCGGTAATGCCTCCGTTGTCCAGGGATTTTCAAGGTGGTTTACTAAGAATCCAAAATCCACTGTGGGTTTTCCTAAGGTTCCTAGGTGATTTTTCAGTTTAGATGTTTTTAAAGATTACGAGATTTGTTGCAGGGATTTACTTGCAGAATGCTATGAGATGCCAGGGATTTCATTCCCGGGTCCTCACCCTGGAAATGTTCACACTGCAGGTCTTCGACAAAGTCATTGGGATGTTTGCAAGGCAGCGCAATCCCGTGAAGGCAAGGATTTTTCGAGGGATGTGGAGCCTGTGGTAATGTCAATACGCCCTGATTGGTGATTGGGGTGGTTACAGCGTCGCTTCCAAAAACAGTGATAAATGACGTTTATAATTTATATAAACTCACCCTAGTGTTAAACTGTGGGTTTCTTATTGTTTATTCATCCTGGGTCAAGATTACCTTTGGTAGCATTACTGAATATTACTGAATTACTCTACATCAGGTATCTCAAACTATTAACAAGCCAGAAAGACTTGTTCCAAATACATAGCACTTAACCCCTTCACACATTAACATATATTTGTAATTATTTGTATATATATATATGGAATTGTCAGATCATAGATTGATTGTAAAGGTTCAAGACTTATGAAGTCAAGCAGTAAATTTCCGCACACAGCGCACAATTATAGAGGTCAATTGATGAGCTGCGTAGGGGTTTACTGTTCTGTCATGTCAGGTGCGTAGGATGACACGCACAAATCATAGCACATATGTTCACCTGTATTACCGCAGGCATTTTTTGCTTGGAAAACAGGCGCGACGTTGTCAAGGGTTATGAGCCCAACCCATCGCTTTTTCCAATAGCCATGAAAAGCAGTTCCAGGTCCCAATCCATGCCTGTGGAGGATAGGAACTTAGAAGTGGTCAATCCATTTCACTCGGAGAAGGTTCAAGCTGACTGTTTGCTGGAGGCGAAAAGGCCTAGGACGTTACCAGTTCGAGATGATGAATTGGGTCCTCAAAGTACAACAGTTTCTGGAAGGGTAGGTCAGTCTGAAAGTGCTGCACCAACTGGGAAAGGGCGAGGTGTTTGTTCGGCGGGTGAAATGCCGGATGCAACTGGCCCCACAGTGAATGAGCAGAAGGCGCTGAGGACTGAGGGAAAAATCCCAACTGGAAATGTGGCTGCTGAGGGTTCAACAAGGGTTTCAGTAGCTGGTGAAGATGCAGATGGTTTGCAAAGAGCTCTGGAAGTGGAGATGGTTGACTTTTTGCGTCAACAAAATTCGAAGCTAATGCAAGAGTTAGCGTGTCTCAAAGGGCAACTGCAGCATGTACAATCGAAAGCCGGTTCTGGGGATGCTTCATCACCATGGTCTGCTGTGAATGGAACTTCAGTAGAGGGTTCAAGTGGCAATGGAACCTTTCATGCTGAGCGTCATGGTAGAGGGGGAAGTAGAACTCCTAGGCATCGAACACGTGAACGTGCAGTTAGTCCTGAGGCTTGTGAAAAAGGTGAGGTGGTTCGGTTCACACCAAATGGGACCAGAGTGCCAAAAGGTCCACCGCCAGTGAATGAGCCGATGTTGCCACCAGTCCCTCCGTTTCCAACTGCAGCAGGTGAGCCGCTTGTGGAGGGAACAAGTTTTGTCAGCAATTTGTATGACACATGTGAGTCAAAACTGCGTGTGAAAAATGGGGATGTTCAATGGAAACCTCATGATGAAAAAGGGGATGATGCAATTCTTTCTCCTCAAGAAGCAAAACAAGCATTGTTGGAACGTGAGGTTCGGTCTTTGAAAGTTGCAATGGATAGGGTAGCTGTTCCAACAACTCTGACTGAATCTGGATACTGGAATCCAACGGGGCTTGGTGGATGTGGTGCGGATCTTCGACAAGATCGGGCTCTGCATGGTGGTAGGCACGGAGATCTACCTCAACAAGATCGGGCTCCGAATGGTGGCAGGCATGGAGATCTACCACAACAAGATCGGGCTCTTCGTGGCGTCGGTGAACTTCCACAACAAGATCGGGCTCTTCGTGGCGTTGGGGAACTTCTTCATCAAGATCGGGCTTCGCATGGCGCTGGAGAACTTCTTCATCAAGATCGGGCTTTGGGTGGCATTGGAGAACTACCTCATCAAGATCGGGCTTTGCGTGGCTTTGGAGAACTTCCTCATCAAGATCGGGCTTCGCACGGCTTTGGAGACCTTCCTCATCAAGATCGGGCTTCGCTGCATGGCGCTGGAGATCTACATCAAGGTCGAGCTCTACATGGTGACGCTGCAGTTCGCGAACTACGTGGTCTTCCTCAAGAAGGGCGTCTTCATGGTGGAGGTCAAGGGCATGAAACTTTGGGTGTCGCACCAATGCCGGCATCATGGGAGTCGTCTGGTGGAGGTGGCGGTGGAAAGGTGGAATTGCCATCACTTCCAAATGGGGCCTCACCACTGGAGTTTGGAGATTGGCTTTGTCTTTGCGGCCCTATCATGAAGGACCTCTCTCAGGTGGCTGGACGATGGTGGGATGCTACTGTGCGCCAAGCTCATGCGTTCTATGTGGAATGGAAGGGACTATCTCCTCTACAACGTGTTCAACTTTGCCCTCGTCTTCCTGAAGAACTGATGGCAAGCTGCTTCATCAGAACGGAGCAGCGGGGTGTCACACTTTTGCTCAAAGCAGTGAGCGATGAGCAACAACGGGAGCTTGTGGTGGATCGAGACTTGACCAGTACGGCGATTTTGTTCCGCCTCTACGTGCGTCATCAACCAGGAGGTCCAGGTGAAAAGGCAATCCTCTTGGGGCAATTGACGTCACTGCAAAAAGCAACTACGATGCAGGAATTGGCTTCTTCTCTGAGAACATGGCGGCGATACTTTGCAAGGGCCAGGGAGGTGGATGCAAGTTTGCCTGATGGAGTGCTGTTGATAAAAGCACTTGAAGCTGCGGTTGTCCAGATCGCCAAGGAAGACTCCCAAGCAGCGTTCAGGCTTTCCACAAGCCGACAACAACTTGCACTGGATCAACGTCCAACGGAGCAATCAATATGGAGTTTTAGCCAATGTCTTCTTGCAGAGGCGGAGACGCTGAGTCTGCTGAAATCCTCCTCTACAACAACAGCAAGTGCGAGCACACCTGTGAGGCTCAAACAAATGGATGCTGAAGCATCAAACTCACCTCAAAAACCAGGCACTCCTGGCAACTATGGCAACAAGTCCGGCAAGGGACACTCAACTCCTATGTCGGAGCAACCATGCAAGTTCTTCAAGAGCGACACTGGATGCAAAGCCGGACGAAGCTGCAAATGGTCTCACTCTTGGGAGGGCATCGAGGACAAGAACAGTCGATGCTGGATCTGTGGCGGCAAAGATCACAGAAAAACTGAATGCAAAGTCAAGGGCAATGGCAACAACTACAAACCTTCGTCCAATGACTCTGGTTTGGGGGGAGGACGTGGTGGTGGAAATCAAAATGCAGCCAACAACAAAGCGGCTGTCAAGCAAGCTTCAGTTGGAAAAGGTCATGATGGTGGAGTTGCAAGCTCAACAACTGATCAAACCTCTTCTAGTACGTGCGCTGATGGTCCAGGACTGTGTGCTGAGAGTAACTCCCTTGGGACTTCATCTAGTGCAACCTCGGAGGTGGATAAGGGGGGAGCTCCAGCTGCCACTCCTGCGACCACTGAACTGTTGGCAGAAGCCACTCAGTTGCTGAAGTCTTTGCGTATGCCCAACCTGAAGGTGATGCGACTGTCAAAGTTGGAGTCTCATGCTCAAATGGTGTTGCTGGACTCTGGTGCAACACATGGCCTACGTCCTGCAGCTTCAGAAGAAGAATGGCAGTCTGGCACAAGAACTCAGGTGATGTTGGCCGATGGTGTCACAGAAAGCCTCCGTTTGAAGCCTGGCACCAAAGTTTTGCTTTCCGACCCTCTCCTTCGGCCTGAAAATACCTCTTGGATCGTTCCAATGGGATGCTTGAACGAGCTCAACTACAAGTTGGTGTGGAAAGACCACATGTGCCATCTCTACACAAAAGCTGGAGACAAGGTCAATGTGGAACTTCACAATGGATGTCCCTACGTTGCTCATGAATTTGGAGCGAAACTGCTGACGGTTTTGGAACAGCATCAAATTCAACAAGAGCTGAAAAAGATGACCTTGAAGTCAATCTTGACAAGAGGGGCTGCCGGTCTTGGCGACAAAATGAGCATTGAAATGGCGATGCTTGTCAAGCTCAAGGAGGTCATGCCGACTTTGCCTGAAGATTTGGCGTTGAAGCTGGTCCCAGATCTCTCAGTGCTCACGGACCCCAACATCGGCTTGAACCTTCCATGGAATCGCAGAAAGCGAAAAAGACTCATGATGGCAAAGAATGTGATCATCCACATGTACAGTGGACCTGATGCTTCTTACTGGGAGCGGCGTTTGTCAAATGAGCACACTGAGGTGCTGTGCGTGGACTTGGAAGCTTCAACACCTTCAAATGCTTTGGATGAAACAACCTTTGCGTTTTTGCTTTCCTTGTGCGCCAGCAAACGTGTCAAAGCTCTACTTGGAGGCCCTCCATGCAGAACAACAAGTGCTCTCAGGTTTCAAAAAGATGATGGTCCACCAATTCTTCGAACAGAAGATCACCCATATGGTTTGCCATCATTGACTCCACAACAAGCTGAATTGGTCACCAATGACTCAATTCTGTGGCTCCGTTTGATGCTGATGTACATCCTCTGCGAAGAAGTGCGTCCAAAAGAACAAGCTCAAACTGCATTTCTTTGTGAACAACCTCAAGACCCAGCGGAATACCGCAAGAAGGAGGATGTGGATGAGCACCAGTACTTTTCAATGTGGAGAACTCAGGAATGGAAAAGCTTCCAAGAAGCCTACAACGCCAAGCTGATCTCCTTTGATCAAGGGCCTTTTGGACACCCAAAACGAAAGCCAACCACTTTGGCCTTGATCAACATGAATGAGATGATGCAGCTACAAGATGTGCGAGGTCGTGGAGCTGAACCTGAAGTTGCTCCGCTACCAGAACTCAGCGTGAAAGAAAGATGTGCTATGTCAAAAACTTGGGCGGCTTGGGCACCTGGTTTGAAGGCTGCAGTTGCTGAAGCAATCAGCAGATGGATTCGCCGTGAAGCGCCTCCACGTGAAGGACCTGAAGATCCTGTTGGCGTTGTTTACGCCGATGATGATGTCCGACCTGCTGGTGTCGCTGCCATTGGAAATGTTGCCCTTCAACAATGGAAGCAACACTACATGCAGGACCACATGCCGGCCCGTCGAGATTGCAGCCACTGTGTACGTTCTCAAGGTCGCAGTCGAGCACATCGCCGAGTTTGTCATCCGGAAAGCTTCACTTTGAGCTTGGACATGTCTGGTCGGATGACTGGTGGCAAGGACCAAACTCCTGGCAACAACAAGTACTTCTTGGTTGGAGTTTACACATACCCCGTCAACAAAAAGGGGAAACCACTCTTGTTGCGTCCTGACCAAGATGAAGAGGAAGATCACCCTTTGCCTGGCCTTGATGACCCTGAGCTCTCTGGTGATCCTCAAGAACAACAACCTGGAGATGGTCAACCACCTCAACAACATGTTGAACGAGATCAACAACAAGCGAGCCATGAAGCTCAACATGAACAAGGTCTTCCTGCTGGTGTTGCACAAGATGAACCTGATCCTCTCCAAGAAGAATCGGTTCCTGACCTTGTGGAGGATGAAGAGGTGAAGTCAGCCTATGGAATGCACGACACTTGGATGCGTCTCATCAATGAGTCCAAGGACGTCACTGTGCGCAACCTCACTTTTGCAGAGCCCATTGCAGATCGAAATGTGCACAACGTGCTGCCGGCGATCGCCAAGATCTATGCTCGTTTGCGATCTTTGGGTTGCCCTGTGTATCGAATGCACAGTGACCGTGCACGTGAATTTTTGGCAAAACCTGTCCATCAATGGTGTCTTGACCGTGGAATAGTTCAAACTATGACACCTGGCAGTGCTTTCAAAACAAATGGCAGAGCTGAAAACGAAGTTGGGATGATCAAAAAAGGTGTCCGCACTTTGATCTCTGCTGGAGCATGCCCTTTGGACAGATGGCCTCTTGCGGTGCGACATGTTGGAGAAAGACGTCTCCGCAATCAACTCAACCAAGCAGGCTGGCCAGTTGGAAAACTTTTGAGGTTTGGCTCCAAAGCCTATGCCCTCAAGAAAAGCTGGCAAGATCGCTACGCTCAATGGCGTGATTGCCGAGAAGAAGTTGTGGTGTGGGGCCCCGCTGAAGGATCTTCTATAACCACCACAACATACTATGTCAAAGCAATTGCAACGGAAAGGTGCTTCTACACTGATGATGTGGTGATTCCTGCGGATGATGGCATGAATGCAGCTGTCGATGCTGGTCCCGGGGGAGAAGTTTTGCCATATATCCCTGAACGTGATGAAAGACAAGCTCAACCGCTTTTTTGTGATGGTGTGCCAGCACGAAGATTGAGATCAAAGACAGCTCCGCCACCAGCAATTGCCACTATGTCAATGTTGCACATTGAGGGGGAGAAGCGCATCCTTGCAAAGTTTGGCAGTGTGTTTGAGTTTGCGCTGCCGCCTGACAATGAAGTTGCCTCTGAAGGTTCATGGACTTTGGAAACAACGCTTTCTCCAGCACAACAACATCCACCTCAAGAACAACATGAGGTTCATGATGCTCCGCGACCAGGGCATGATGATGAAAAGGATGGTGATGGGGGGCAAACAGAAACTGATGAAGTTCATGATCAAAAGGAGGAGGAAAGTGATGTGGAGGAGGATTTGGGGGAGGCGCCTAACAGCAGAGACGGTGGCTCAAGCTCTGCGGCCTCAAATGTATCAAAAAATGTTCTGGTTAGAATGTCAAAGATACAAGCCCTCCAAACCATCCACGACAATGTCTCGGACTATATAGCCGAGGAGATCTGCAAGCTTGATGGCACCTTCCCTGAACAAATGTGGTGTCTCCCTGAGCTCAACAAAGCTCTGGTTAAAAAGGTTGAAGTTGAAGAACAAATTCAACTGCTTGCGGATGAAGATCGAGCTGAAGAACAACAACAGCTTACTCATGAGTTTTTGGTCACCAAAACGGTCAGCAACAAAGAGGTTCGTGAAAACCTTGCCGATTGGACTGAATCCATCAAGGCTGAGTACGAGCAGCTTGTCGTCAACAAAAAGGCTGTCAAACCAATGACCAGAACGGAACTCCAAAAAATGGCTGAAGTGCAGAACAAAACTTTGGAGATCCTTCCAGCAAAAATGGTTCACACTAGAAAAGCTGGATCAGGAGCATACCGTTCAAGAGCAGTGGTGTGTGGAAACTACCAGACACCGAATGACGACAACACGTACGCTGGAGGTGCTGATGCAACACAGATCCGAACAATGCTAAGGATCAGTGCTCAGTACAGATGGAAAGCTGCTTCAACTGACATACGAACGGCGTTCCTCAATGCGCCGAGAAGAGACTCCAGACTCATAGCTATGGAAGTGCCGCATGTGTACAAAATGTTGGGCCTCGCTGGACCTGATGAAGTTTGGCTCATCATGCTTGCAATGTACGGACTCCAGGCTTCACCAAGGGACTGGTGCCTTCACCGTGATGCAGTTTTGCCAACGCTGAAGTGGACAAGGCAAGGTCCAAATGGGTTGCTGACTGGAAGTTTTGAGAAAACAAAAGATGAAAACGTTTGGCGCTTGGAAGAACTGGATGAATCAGGCTACATCCACTGGAATGGCCTCATGTCGGTGTATGTGGACGACATCTTGGTCACTGGTGAAGAGTTTGCAGTTCATGGCGCTCTACAAGCTCTCTCTGGAGTTTGGACAACCTCTTCTGTGGAATGGGCTGGTGTTGACAAGCCTCTCAAGTACTGCGGTTTTGAGATTTCTGAAGATGCCAAAGGCGATGGTTTTCATGTCAACCAGCACATGTACGAGCAGGAGATGTTGCAACGTTGGAATGTTGATGAAGGAGCTGAATATCCTCACTACAAAGTTGCTGAGGATCAAGAAGTCGAAGAAAGCCCTGACCCAAATGATGTCAGGACAGCTCAAGCTATGGCTGGTTCCTTGCTGTGGTTGAGTTCCCGAACACGACCTGACCTTGCGCATGGAGTTGCAACTATGAGCAGGCTCATGACAAAGGCTCCTGTCAAAGCCATTCAGATCGGCACAACGTTGATGAAATACGTCAAGGGAAACCCTGGCGTTGGTTTGAGGTACACAACACATGTTCCTGATGACTGGGGCGCCCATGGCCAGCTGAAGGTGAAAAGAAGTGACCTGCTCCTGGAGATCTTCTGCGACATAGCATATTCAGCAGGTTCTGGCCACAGAAGCGTCCAAGGGATCGTTGTTTGCCTTGGTGGTCAGCCGATCTGTTGGCAAACAAGCCAACAACCTTTTGTCACCCACAGTACGGCTGAAGCTGAGCTGGTTAGCTACTGTGAAGGCCTGATCGCTGGCAAAGCAGCTGAAGCTCTGGTGATGGAGCTCACAGGTGTTACAGCTGTGATGAAGGTCATCTATGGTGACAACATTGCCGCGATTGGACTGGCCAATGGAACTACAGCCTCTTCATGGCGAACAAGACACTTGCGCATCAGAGCAAGCCTTTTGAAACAAGCCCTGGATGAAACTGATGCAGCTGGAGGCCAATGGAAGCTGATCCATGTGCGTGGCCTTGACTTAGTTGCTGATGGTTTTACAAAGCCTCTTTTTGGAGCTGCCTTTCAACGTTTTGTGGAAAACCTGGGCATGAACGCGCCGTTTTTGAGGCCCGAAGACCCTGAAATACGTGCTGCTCAAGTGCGAAGCCATGGCAGCAGAGAGCGTGTTCATGCTGGTGCAGCTTCTGCGATGAGTTTTTTGGTGGGGCAGACTCTTTTGTCCGAAGCCGAAGCTTTGGAAATCAAGGGAGAACAAGATGAAGCGGATCCACTTTGGATTGCTGCGGTGGTTTTGATGATCCTTGGGGCAATCTACGCTGGCAAGCTGGCAGTTCAAGCTGGTCAATGCTGCATGCGCCGATTGCAGGTGTGGTCGTCTTCGCCAACAACGCCTTCTGGTGAGATGCAAGCTTCATCAACAAGCTCCGCTACCAAAGATGATGGAGAAAATGATGTTGAAATGAGATCAAGTTTGAGGCGACGCTTGAATGCTTCGAGCGGATCTGGCCCTGTGCAGGCCTTTGGCAGTTCTGGCCCTGTGCAGGCCCTTGGCAGTTCTGGCCCTGCGCAGGCCTCTGGAGCGTCTTCAAGCGGCGCTGGAAACTATGGCCCTGTGCAGGCCTCTGGTGCGTCTTCAAGCGGCACTGGAAATGTTGGCCCTGTGCAGGCCCCTGCGATGATGCCTTCAAGTGGAGCTGGCACTTTGAGCAGTTCTAGCCTTGTGCAGGCTCTCTCTACGGGATCTATGAGTTTTGGCCCTGTGCAGGCCACTGGTGCGTCTTCATGCAGCGCTGGAAGCGTAGGTCCTGTGCAGGCCTTTGGTGCTTCTTCGAATGCGGCTGCTGGCATATCTCCAAGCGCTGGATCTGGCCCTGAGCAGGCCTCTGCTGCTGCGGACCCTGGCCCTGAGCAGGCCTTTGCGGCTGATGTATCTGGCCTTGAGCAGGCCCTGCGCGCTGTGGCGGAGATTTCTTCTGCGGCTGCTGCTGATGGCGTCAGCGTTGAAAACGCGTTGCAACGGCGAGCAGCTGAAGTGAGCGAGGCACTTTTGGGTGGTGAAAGGTCTGAAGCGACTTTACATAACCCATGGAATCTTTTTCAACATGAACATAGAGGCAAAGGATGGTCGCCTGCGCAGATGTCAAAGATGTACAAAGAATGGCGAAACCATCAAAAGGATAAAACGCCTTGAGCCTACCAATTTTAGGTTCCTACCTTTTAGGTCTCTTAATTTTGTCTTGAATTTCAATTCAATTTTTGGCTGGGTGCCGAAAAAATTCGAACTTCCATAAAATCGTGAAAGCACGATTGGGGGAGTCTGTCATGTCAGGTGCGCAGGATGACACGCACAAATCATAGCACAGATGTTCACCTGTATTACCGCAGGCATTTTTTGCTTGGAAAACAGGCGCGACGTTCTCAAGACTGTAAATGTTCTAGAATTCATCCCCACAGAATGCGACGATTGGGGTCCCACTTGACTATCACTCCCAGCCTGATGGGACAATTTGCAGGAAACACCTCCCTTTAAGGGTAGACAACAATAGTTTCCTGTAGCTTTGCATGCTTGATCCACTTGAATCATCTTAATTGACTTCCCATTGTTACTGGTTATAGCCCAATTTTTGTTGATGGTTCTATACATCTTGGTTATATCCTCAATGTATTGATATTAGATTTCCCATTTATATCAATTTATTGCTTCCATCCCCATTACATCCTATTATATTGATTATATCCCTATATTATTCCATTATCGGATATACAGTAATCATTGAACAATATTATATAACGTATTACTATGATTGTTGTTATTTTCATGTTCTGATCATTTTATATATTCCATTATATCCCTATTATTTCCCACTAATCCTCATTAAATCTCATTTTATTAATTATATATATACACAGTATAATATATATATAGATAGATAGATACACGTATATGGTTTTCCCGTAAGCCAATCCATTTTTCATCAACCACTGAACAGCTCAGCGGCTTTCGGCCAGGTGGAGGAGTGGCTCCTCAATGCTGGCCAGTCAGGCCAGGGCCCTCAAGATCAAAAAGAGCAGGCACAAGCACAATCGATATGCAAACGATTGGGTGTGTGTATGCAACGCATGTAGTTGTTATGATACTGTAGTATAATATGTATTTTTATGTAATATGTGGTTATATATATATATTATACGATATTATACGTATAATGTTGTATTCTTCACAATTGAGTCAACAAATCACAACGTAGGTTCCCACTGTTGTGACAAGGTTGGACGCCACATCAAGCTGCCTTTGAAGCGGTGGTGAAACTGCCGGGGACTCAACTTTTGCAGCTAGTCAATGCTGGTCATGTTGGGTCTTCAACCATCCAAGTATCGTGGGAATTTTGGAGTACCCAAGTTGCTTACTACTGAAGCATACCAGAGGTTCAATCAGGTCATAGTCCCAGAAAAAATGGTAAAATGGGGGTTTCAGGGCGTGTATGTTGGTATGTTGCTTGTTATGATTTTGTGTTGGGGTTCAATGTTTCATCCTTGGTTTTGATGATTTTTCAGGTGGGGTTTTGGGGGTCATTTTGATGCTAAAGTGATGTGTCAATGTTTGGTTCAGATGAGGGTAGGATTTGTTTAGGCTGTTGGGGTTTGTGTTTTGGTTCAGATGAGGGAGATACTGTGGATAGTGTACTTGTGGTTGTCGTTTTTTATTGTCAAGGTATGTCTTGTCTTTTTTTGGGTATGATTTTATTGTGTTTCCTTATCATCAGTTTCAAGACAGAACATTCAACTTGATATCTTTCAAAAGGTTCCATGTCTTTCAACATCTTTCATTTTTTATTCTCTCATTCTCGTCTTTTTTGGTGGCGTTTTTTCTTGGTTGTGTTTTGATTTGAACGTCTTTCGCTTCGCCTCATTTTTTGCGGACTTCTTCATGGACTTTCTGGATTTCGTCGGGGGCGCCCAGATGAGATGTGCGCGCTGTTTCGTTTGCATGGAAGCATCACTTTTGAGGACATATTGCGTTTCTTGAGGCACTATGTACACTCTATGTACACATTGTGGCATTACACTACACCCAGAGATGTTGATTGCTTTCTCCCGCAGCAGACAGGCTCACAAATGCTCACAAGATAAGATGAGTTCTACTTGCGGCATGTGTTGCACTATGAACAAGTCAACGCATCAAGAAATCGTAAAGTGCTTGAGCTCCAGCACAGTCCCAGTTCTGGAGATTTCCGCCATGGGTATGTCGCGTTGCCTCATTGCCCGATGTTGTGGTTTTCGGCTTCTCATGTCAGGCCGACGAAACCACCGTTGCTTCTCAAACAACGCTCCAGAGAAGGAGCCGACCACGAAACAGCAGATTGGAAAGTGGTTGGTTGGTGGTGGTGGCTCGTTGGCCATCGTGACCTTTGGATGGGATATGTGGCGGCATCGTCAAGAACAAGAACGGCATCGTCAAGATCGTCAAGAACAAGAGCGAGTGAAGAATATCATTGTGAATGCCTCTTTCAAAGCACGCGAGCCACGTGTCAAGATTGAACGGAAGATAATCAAGGCGTCCAAGCACCACCTTTTTTTTTGTTGTGTTTGCCTGTGTGTTTCTTGACAGAAGGGATTTGTTATTGAGATGGTGTTATTCCATGTCATATTGGCATTTTGAATTTGATGCACTATGCTCACTATGCACTGTAGCAGGACGAACTGCACCAGTTGTTGGACTTGGACGACCCCCGCCCAATCCTCATCTGGGGGAATCATGAAGTGGGCAAGAGCACCATCCTTTGGAAAGTCTTGCAGGAGAAGCAGTGGAACAATGGAGTGCTCCACAACAAGCTCATGCAGAACAACGACTTGGCCAAGGACGCATTGAGGAGCAGGTTGGCAGTGCTCCATGAAGAGGAGATGATGCGTGGCTTGAGAGATGCCAAACAAGAAATGGGACGGCAACCCATCATCATCCTTGAAGTTCCTCGTGGTGTCTTTAATCCAGATGTGATGAGCAGCGTCTCCGCCTTTGCAAAGTCATGGGGCTTTGATGACACGGTCGCCAAAGTGCTGGTGATGGTCAGTTCTGCAGTGTCAGCCATGGCTTTTGACGCAGACGGTCGTGAGCGCCGATTCTTCGTTCCACCACTGACGAGTGAAGAGCTCTCGCAGAAGGAGGCCATAATGAAGAGCTTCAGTTCATGTGGTAATTGTTCAGTCACCTTCAATCACTTTAGTGCTTTTTGTTGGTGCTACTTCTGGCATGGGTTGGGATGTTTGCAGATGGACGTCTCCTTGTCAGGTTGAGGAATTCCTACGTCATCATGGCGGTGAAGAGGCCTCCACGCACAAGAGCGACATGATTCAACTCACAGGTGGCAACATCGGTGTAATGGAGGACAAGGGTCATGAAACCATGGGACAACAACCCGAAACATCAACGAACGTTGAAACCTTGAAACTTGCCCACATCTCCTGCAGGACGTGGCGCAAAATGCCAAAGAGACATCATGGGAAGAAGCAAAGTCCAAACGGCTTGCGGTGCAAAGAAGTCAGGTCCAGAAGTTCTTGGGCATTGACGACCAAGGTGGCTTTGGCCCAGAAAAGGTGAGGATGGCACGCACCTTGGCCAAGGCCGTGGCGCATAGCTCCTTCGAGCAGTGTGTTGATGCTGAGAGGTTCATGAAGCACTTCACGCCTGCGCACATGGCCGCAGCGGTGCGGCGACAAGGAGCTTATTGCATCTATGTGGATGCGCGGGCAGAGGAGCGACGCTACTGCGCAGTTTCTCGCACAGTGCATGACCTTTTGAAGAAGGTCTGAAGGCGGAAGTGGCAGTGGCGTGTGAATGAGAGTGCTTGGTTCCTTGTAGGACTTTTGGATTGCATGGATGGTGCAATCCGCATTGTGTCCAACCAGACTGGCAAAACACAGAAAGGTGATGATTTTTATTGGGGTTGCACCTACCCTTCAATCCGGGATGCATTCTATCTGCGCTGCACAATGCACCGGTGTGACAGACAGCACAGTGTTCCAAGACTGGATGAGCAAAAGTGAAATGAAATGGCAGAGATTGAAGATTGGTTAGTTTCGCAGTTGTTGGATTGGCACTCTCAAATGTAGCATTCTTCAGGCCCAGAAGTTTGGTGATGATATCAACCACTTTTCACTGCTTTACTGTATCCAATTGCATCCAATTGCCCTCTTCCACTTGCCGAATGCGTCCCACGCCAAGGTTGTGAAGGCATCAGGGACACCATCTATTTATTAGCAGGTCAATCCCAGCATTTGTCATAATGCAAGATTTTGGAAACGGGTTCTATCAAAGCCTTGAAGCAGCGAACTATTAAACAGCCTTCAAAACCTGATTGTTTCGGTGAAAATCCAACCAAAGATTTGCTGGAATGACATTTCCAAGCAGTCTCCAAAACTTGACGTTGGCGATGATTAATTTAGCAATCTTTTGGGGGAGCATTCTGTCCATGCTCCTTGAGCATGTATTGGTTCATATGCACCACACACCCGCGCAAACCCACAGACCCTTTAGTCCTCCCGATTTGTTCATCTTGTTTCTTCAGGGAAATCAAGTTTCGTCGGAGTGGTCTGGAGCATCCAACGGGTTTGGACGGTGTGGCAGGGTTAATGTTTATTATGTGTATATATATATATAGGCATATGTGATGAACTAGTTCAAGTTGTTTTTCGTGGAAACGAAGAGAGACAAACCATCCGCCCTGCAGGAGTTGATGGCAGATGAGCATGTTTTTTGGGTAATGAGGCTTCGCCATACTGCTAACTTCAACTGAAGACAATGCAGTTGCAGTTTCCCAACAAGCTGCAACAACGACAATGGCATTCTAACAACTTTGACAGCGGCAGGAACAGTATTCAACAAGTGTCCTAAACTGGTCTTTTCGAATTTCTTTTCACATCATTTTGGGACACCTCATTTGCGAACACAGAACACCCCAAAGATACTTAAAGACAAGTCGCCTTATGTAATTAAGATTTGATATGCCCTGCTATTTAGTAGTTGACGGAAAGAAGCAAGAAATGGATGAGGACATCTTTGACCAAATGGTTGAAGCACTCAATCCAGAAACAGTCCAAGAACCCCCAATCCAAGCATCCACCAGATGGAAACCCGATGGAACTTATGACAGAAAACCATTAGACCCCGAATACTTTTCCAAATGCTACCAAAAGAAATTATCAACACCCTTCAAGTGCGCCGACTGCGGACGCACCATTTCGTCCAAATCCAATGTATCAAAACATCGTCAAACCAACATTTGTATTAACAGCAGATGTCATTGATGAACTGTTGAACTCAAACCTTCTCAATAACAAATGATGTTGTTGAGAACGTTTTATTCGCTACTTATTCCTGTTTGTTTGACACAATTTTTCGACCCTTGATGTATCGGAACATAATATTGAGACATTACACGCTTACAAAAAGGACACTCAATCTTTTCAAGGTGTTTCGCTAATATTTTGTCTCTATGTTTGTAGTAGTATTCCCGCGACGCCTCTTTTCTCTCTTCTTCCGTCCTATGCGGAACGACCTTATTGACACAATCAGTGTTTTTGATGTAGTGTCCTTCTCGTCTCAATAGTTTTTCCTTACAATTACACGGGTAGTTCTCAATCAATTCAATCTTACAATTTTCAATACCGAACTCATCAAAGATATCAAACACTGAAATCTTGCTGTTTGTCTTTCCTGTCTTATAGTTGTTGTATTTTGCTCTATGCCTCTCAATTTTTTTACTCAAACTTTCGCAAGTGCTCCCTACATAGGTTTTGTTGTATCCAATGTCAGTTATTTTGTAAATCTTTCCGTTTTCATACCTGTTCATACCTATATTTACTATAAGTTGCCATTTCTTTAAACCAGTTTTTCAAAACCAACCGTGAGGTTCTCGCGTTGGACTTCAACCCAGAACCAAATTACCCGAAAACTGAACGAGACCCGAAAACTACTTAAAGAAATGGCACCTTATATTTTAAGGAGAGAATGGGAGAGGGTGTAAGGTTAAAAAGTGAAATTTTATCTCAAAACTTAATCCAACAACAATCCAATCCACCGCAACATCCTCAACAAAGAATGGAAACTGAAAAACTACTTAAAGAAACACCATCTAATAATAATATAGAATATAATATAATGGAACGCTCAGACCAGATTGTTTTAGATTACATTTTATCAAGTGAGACAGGCGAGATATTGAAACAGAATGGACGGGAACTTAAGAAACTGAAGATAGGTGATAAGACCTACAACTTTGAAAGAAACAAACCCATCACGAACAGATTGAAAACC